AAATCTGTGGAAGTGGTTCGGGCTCACATCGGTCGAACTATTCAGAAGCGCCGCAAACAAGATCAAAATTGCCATGTTAATAGCCAACGTTCGCAACGGACAGGGCACTTGAAGAAGAAGATTTTATCTGAAATGAGTGCATTCCACGAAGTAAGGGGTTTCAACAATCAAACATTTAATTCTTTAATTCCAGGAATCTACGACAGTAATTGACTAGATAATTACCTTCTAAACTTATTCCACAGAAAATGTGATAGTGGGTTTTTCCATTTTGTAGGAAGGTCCAAGTGGCGTATTCAAAATTCTTAACAGTTCACTAAAAGTAGGTACTTCAGTTGCAAGGTGCAGTTTATTGTGTATACTAGTGTTATGGAAAATTTGGAAGTGCCGTGTAAACGCCGAAAAATTGGTCCTTTAACAGTTAATGAAAAAACATTAATATTTAATTGTTTTAAATCATTTACAGACAAACGTTTATGTGAAAGTGTTGATGAGACCGTTGAGTTAGTTAGCAGTACACTTGGTGTTGGGAAATCTACGATTTACAGAGTTATTAAAGAAGAGAAATGTGGTAGTTTTCAAATGCCACGTAATGCTCCTGGGAAACCAAAATTTCAAATAGAATATCATTTTAAAGAAGGACTTCGACGGAAAGTGCATGAATTCTTCTTTAGACAAGAATTTCCAACATTGGATAAAGTTCTTGTCTCAGTTCGAGATGATAAGGATTACCCAGAAATGAGTCGAAGTACGTTATGGAAACTTTAAAAAAAAATAGGCTTCCGCTGGAAAAAAAATCCCAGAAAGTCTATTTTATTAGAAAGAAGCGATATTGTCATATGGAGAAGACATTTTCTAAGAACGATAAAGGAAATGAGAAACCAAAAAAGAAAAATATTTTATCTTGATGAAACATGGATCAACGAGGGTCATACACCAAATAAATTTTGGCAGGATGAAACTGTTACAAGTCAAAGGCACGCTTTTGTAAATAACTTATCTACTGGGTTAAACCCACTATCAGGAAAGGGACGCAGGCTGATAATAGTACACATTGGCAGTTCAGACGGTTTTGTTGAAGGTGGTTTATTAAGTTTTGAATCAACTCGTACCGGTGACTACCATGAAGACATAAACGCTGATGTCTTTCAAGAATGGTTCGAACAAATGATAGATCTTCTTCCTAAGAACTGTGTAATAGTAATGGATAATGCAAGTTATCACTCCAGACTTATAGAAGGACTGTCCACAACCAAGTGGTTAAAAAAAGACTTGCAGAATTGGCTGAGTTCAAAAAATATTACGTACCATCCCGGATCTATAAGAAAGGAACTTTATTCGTTGTGTGCCCTTCATAAAGAAAAATTTAAAAAATACGAAATTGATGAAATTGCCAAAAATCGTGGAATGACAGTACTTAGATCCCCACCATATCATTGTGAATTAAACCCGATTGAACTGGTATGGGCACAGATAAAGAGTGAAGTTTCAAGAAAAAATACCACTTTTAAAATTCATGATGTTAAACAGTTGTTTTTGGAGGCCGTAAATAATGTAAAACCTGAAAACTGGGAAAAGGCAGTAAATCACACTATTAAAGTAGAGGAAAAAATGTGGAAGCTGGACAATATTACTGATAAAATGATCGATCCAGTTATTATAAATCTTGGTTCTGAAAGTTCATCTTCTGAATCTGATTTGGATTTGTAACAAGTAGCTGTAAGTTTTATATTAATATTTTTATTCATCTATTTAACATACCTTAGACGGTTTTAAAAACTCTTTTTCTCTTTTGTAATTTTTAAAAATTAAAAAAAATGTGAATTTTTTAAAACCTTTTTTAATGTAGGCCAGTCAGTTCTAATATAGTGTGTGATAAAAGAGGTCACTTTTGTTTACATACACATAACACTTTATAACACTGAAATAATTCATTTATTTTTTACAATTATTCAAAGTAATTTTTTAATTAATCTTGAGCACGCCCATGGAGTAGTCGGAGGTACCAGTTAAAATTATGCTAATTACTCTCTCGTTCATAAAAACAAACTATAATAATTTTTCACCACAAAACCAACTTTAAGGGGAGCAAATCTTCTGGCTTAAGGTTCAAGCTAGCAGAATTCGGAAAAAAAAACTTTTTGGCGATGGCATATTTTTTACCCATTGTTCACTAACTTATTACCACCCTAATAAATTTTAACCACCAAACTGCTTTTAAGGAGAGCGATTTTGCTGGCTTACGGTTAAAACTTGTAGAATTCCAAAAAAAAATATTTATGATATACCAAAGTGCTCTGCTAGATTTTTATGAAAACTTTTGGCCACCCGATAACTTGGAGATCATCGCCGTCGTAATATTTTATTTTTATATAAAATAAAAAATAAAACTCCATCAAACGCGGTCTCCTAGAGTAAAACCCACGAGTTATGACTGTCGACTGATTTAGAATGAAATTAACATACTCCAGGAGACGAGGTCCACTCTGGACACCAGGTAGCTCGAGGATCATATTCCTATGCAGCGAATAAGTTTTATTTTTTTTACTTTTTTTTAGGAATAGATATTGTATACAATTTTGTAAAAAAAAAATTATATATATGTATATATATATATATATATATATATATATATATATATACATCATACATCCGTACCTCGGAGGTAAAGGACACTATGTCCATTTTCTTACTTTTTAAGGAGAGCAGTTTTAACATTTTTTAAATTTGTAATCAGTAAATACCCAAATGTTTCTGATATTTAACCAAAATTAATATATTATATTAATTTTATTGTTTAAATTTGTAATCAGTAAATACTCAAATGTTTCTGATATTTAACCAAAATTAATATATTATATTAATTTTGGTTAAATATCAGAAACATTTGAGTATTTACTGATTACAAATTTAAAAAATGTTAACACTGCTCTCCTTAAAAAGTAAGAAAATGGACATGTGTCCTTTACCTCCGAGGTACGGATATAATCATCATCATCATATAACGGGGGTCCTACGGCGATTGCCGCTTCCCGCATTTCAGCCTCCATCTTTTCCTATCTCCCCAATCTCCCTCTTCTAAGCCTCTAGATTGCATTGTTTTTGTAATTTCTCTTCTCCAGGAATTTGGTGGTCTTCCCCTTTTCCTTCTTTCTGGCGGAACATACATTAAGGTTTTCTTTGGCCACCGCTCCTCCTCCATTCTCATCACGTGACCATACCATTGTAATTGCCTTCCTTGTATTCTGTCTGAAAGAGTATCTCTAATTCCTGTACGGTTTCGTATTTCCTCATTCCTGATTCTTTCCATTCTCGATACTCGACATGACCTTCTAAGATAATCCATTTCCACAACGTCTCCTTTATCTCGTTCATTCTTTGTCATCGTCCAACATTCGGCACCATACGTGGTAATTGGTTCTACAATTGCTCTGTATACGCGAAGTTTGGTATGCATCTTTATTTTATTAGACCACAGTAATGAATTCAGTATTCGGATGCATTTTTTCCCTTGGGTTATTCGGTTTTGTACATCTATCTTAACTCTGCCATCTGCTGATATGATGCTTCCTAGATATTTATACTGGTTGCAGCCTTTTATGACTGCGTTTTCAAGGCTCAGATCTGTGGTATTTCCTCCAATTTTTAAATATTCTGTTTTGCTTATGTTTACAGTAAGCCCCCATTTGGCATATTCCTCAAATAATTTTCGATTAATATAATTTATATCTTCCTCATCGGTTGCAACCACCACCTGATCATCTGCAAACAACAATGTATACAGAGTTTCTTGTCCCACTTCGATGCCCATAAATCTACATTTATTTCTCCAATTCCTCAATACTTCTTGGACGTATATTTTAAAGAGTGTCGGTGACAAACAGCATCCTTGCTTTAGGCCTTTAGTGACTTTAAATTCATTTGAGGTTCTGGTTCCAATTTTTACACAATTAACTGCATTTTCATACAATTTATATATCGCTCGGATATACGTCGAATCCAATCCGGACCTTTTGAGGACCTCAAACATTTTCTTTAACGGGACACTATCATATGCTTTCTCAAGGTCTATAAATACCAAATGGGTCTCTCTACTTCTTTCGACACGCTTTTCAATTATTTGTCGTAGGATAAATATATTATCAAGGCAGGATCTCCCGGTACGAAAGCCGCTTTGTTCTTCAATATCTTGTATCTGTCTTTCAACCCTCTTCTTTAATATTCTGCCGTACAACCGGCCCATAGAGCTCACACTAATACCTCTATAATTGGAACAGTCTCTTTTATTCCCTCTCTTATATATGGAGCTTATATAAGATTTATTCCAATCTTTAGGAATTTCCTGGTCTCCACACATACATTTATTGAAAAGGTCTACTATTAATTCTAAAAGTGCAGTCGGCCCATATTTAACCAGCTCTATGGGAATGTCTCCAGGCCCTGCGGCTTTTCCGTTTTTAACCTCTTTTAAGGTTTCCGTCAATTCAGATAATGTTATTATAGGGATTTCCTGTCTTTCGTCTCTGTTGTCTATTAATTCCCTTATCTTTTCCCATCTGTACTCTACTCTATCCTCTTTCAGCAGTTCCGTATAATATTCTTCCCATTCATTTAACTTTATGAGAAAAATGTTGTCTTCATTTTTCTCATTTTTCCTAAACTGTTTTAATGTTTTCCAAGCTTGCGCCACTTTTGTTCCACCCATAAATCTGTCCAGTTCATCACACTTAGCCTCCCAGTTTATATTTTTCGCCTTATCCACGTCTTTTTTAACTTCTCTATTCCATTTAGCGTATATTTCTCTGTCTTGAGGATCTTTGGATTGAAGCCATATGTGATATGCTTGTTTTTTCTTGAGAACTTTCTCTTCTAGTTCCGTTGACAACCATTCAGGTTTTCCTTTTTTCCGATTTTCAACTTTTCCCAGTGCTTCATTTGCCGCTTCATGAATATATTTTTTAATTACCTCATATGGATATAATAATTATTTTAATTTTCAGAAATGAAGATATAAGGATAACAATTTTACAACTTGTCAATGTAGTTCGGGCAACGAATGACAAATTAGAAAAACACGAATTCCGCGATAGGGCGGTCAGCGAGCAATTAAAGAAAGGCATCGTTAACATCGATAAGAGGATAAAAATATTAGATCCGGTCAAAGGAACCATCGCGAGGTTGGAGGAAAGATTGGCGGCAGTCGAAACGATTTTAATGCAAACGAACGATAAAGAAAAATCGCAATTGCAGATGACGTTCGAGGCGGTCATTGATATACAGAAAAATCTGCCTGTTGTTATGGAGGAGATGAAAAACGAGATTACTTCAAAGGTTCGTTTTAATACGTTTTTAGCATGAAATTACTTTGTCTTATTCAACATTTATATGAAATATACATATATAAGTTAGATACTATTTTATTGAGAATAAGCCACAATTGAAGGTTAAAATAAGTTTATTAGCGGTTCAATTTCCACTTCGGAAATCGTTTTTAAAATACAAACATTAATAAATTATCAATTTATGAATTTTTTTTATGAAATTGGAAATTTTTCCAAAATTAATGGCCTTAGTTATTCGGAGTCTCTAATAAAAATGAAAGATAAAAGAAATATATTAATTTTTTTAATTTTTTATTTTAACTCGTCCCATGATAAATTGTTGTAATAATAAAAAAAATAGCACCTTCTCTTAAATCTGGATCAATGTCAAAAGTTTTGCTTGCAAAAAATTAATATCTGGTTTTTCTATATAGAGCCTACCGGACGTTGAAATGAGAATGGCTTTCTTATAGAATTGTCCATAACTTTGGAAATATTCCGCATAGTGTAATAAAACTGTATATTAGAAATATGGGAAAAAGAACTAAATCTAACTGTGAAATAACATATAGGGTGTCCTATTTAACAATAGGTATGTTTGGTTACATTGCTAATATGTTACAATCTGTAGACACATACGAAAATAATTTAGTAATGGGAAGTAAATAATTCACCTACAATTTTTGTAAATAACTTTTTTCATTGGTGAACGACATAATAATGCACAAGGCAAAGGGGAACCATTGCATTAACGGCTTATAGAGCACCTCCAGGAAAATCACCATAGAATTCACACTGCAATTGCAAACCGTTACTAATCATGGAAAGCGGAGGCCAAGATTCTGCAGGAGAGCAGAAACTTATTTATACCACTAGGATCTCAGATCTCAGATCGTAAACATGCGAAAACGTGAATAAATCCTAAAAATAAAGAAATCTAATTTTAGAATGTGCATATGAAATGTTAGAAGTCTATTTGCGGTTGTGAAACTCCGGTAACAGCACAGAAGACCTGCATCACAAAAATGGTGTAGGTATATTAGTAACACCAGAACTGAGTAAATATGTCACCAATTTTGTACCAGTCTCGGATAGAATAATATTACTCCAAATAAATACTCAACCATTTAAAACTAACATACTTCAAATCTATGCCCCGACTGCAGATAGAAAATATGACGATGAAGTCGAGAAGTTGTATGATCAGATCCAAGACTTCTTACAGAAACTTAATAAACACAAAATTTTATATATTATAGGCGATTTCAATGCAAAAATTAGAGAAGGTCAACAAGGTCAGACTCTAGGTCCTTATGGTCTTGGTATATCTATGTTTTAGATAAACAGCGTAATGAAACCTTGGGATCGGTTTTTTTATGATAACGTCGAGAAACGGCAGAGATTAACCAGTTTCCATCTCCATCGTGAACTGGATACTAGGATGTATACCATTCAGATGGGTTTGAAAAGACACCAAAGCATCCCTGTCATGGGGAAAATTGACGTGGATAATGCTCGGGTCTTGAGGTATTCCATAAAGATATTGGCAATTACTGAAGATAGTAGGGAGCCCATTGGGACACCATTTATTTGTCTGTAGAATTAATTTTGGAATATAAAATAGGTGTTGGACATACAATGTTAATGAGAGATAAGTGTTGCTGAATACTGTATTTAGTTTTTAGAATGTTTAGAATTTCGTCTATAGGAATGTTTGTAAAGAGTGAAACTATATATCGAAGATTTAAGGATATAAATTCTTACGTGGCTTTCGATTGCCAATTTTTTAATATGTTCCTTTCAATTTAGATGTTGGTCGAAAATCATTCTTAAAAATTTTACATTATTTTTTAGAACTAGAGGATTGTTATATAGTGAGAGTGGAGGTTGGTTAGGGTAGCTTCTTTATGAAAATAATATAAATTGTATTTTTTCTGTAGAAAATTAAAATCCACAACTTTGCGATTATTTTTCTAGTTGATATTAAAAAAAAATATTGAAAAATAGTGATATCTACTGTATATTTTATTACTGTATTACTGTAAACTAAGTCCTTTAATAAAATACATTTATAGAGTGGACCAAAAGTCTGGAAACACCTAATTATCTCTTAAATGAATGATCCGAATTGTACAAAAACCGATACACGCCTATTCTGCACTGTGGCGCACTCAAGGGGATTTTGGGGGTTAAAACTCACCCAGAGCATATAAAGAGTAAAAAATATATAAAGAATAGTAGGAAAATGTAACTTGTCTTTCACACACAATACAAAAAATTCAAAAGGCTAATTTAATAATTTAATTACCACGTTAAATACGTAGAATACAATAATGATTGTATAAATATACAGTAATTAATAATAATAACACTAATATTAGGCTTATGACAAAAGTTAGCAGAACAAGTCTGTTGCAAGTAGCATGCGCCTGCAGGACTCTATCTGCGGCGGCCTTGTGGGCTATTACGGGTTGTGTTAGCAGTAGAAAAGAGACATCTCTATAAGAGAAGAGAGCATTTGACAACAGCTATAAAAAAAGAAGAAAGGGAAAGATCAATGGAAAGTTGGCAAGAAGAGTGAAATAACAAGGAAGATGTTGCATGGTCTGATCACTTGCGCCCTGGCTCAAAAGCTATTGTCACAAACAAAGGTAGTCCAACATGCGAAGCATTTGTTTTGTGACTTAACCATTTCTTTTCATTCAGAAACACTGGTCCTACCCTACTAATATTTTATTAAGCTTAAAGTCATCTAGATATTTCCATAGTTGGGGCAAATAACCGTGTGGACATAACTTTATTTTGTCTTCTTAGCAACACGTCACACGAGTTGTAGCCTAAGGAGAAATCAGTGTTTAAAGGCTTTAAGACATTTTGGGACCAAGAAGTTCTACAGTTTTTAACAACAAACCCTGGTAAGGCGATTACCAAAATGAGGTTTGGAGAAATTTTTTACTCTATTTTAGCTAAGAGCAATGACACTATCAAACATTATCTCCGGTTTTGCATTTACCGGCATTTATCCGTTTAAACCAGAAGCTATACCTGAAGCTGACTTTGCATCACGTTTGATCACTTACAGAGAAGAAGACGAAGTAACTCACAGTAGCTTCCAAAATTTATCAGATATTGTTAGAAGTTCTAGCAAGTATTTGAACCTGTATATAAAAACGTGGCGAGTACAAGCGGATATCAAGTGCCGCCAGAGAAAACTAATAAAAAGAAGAAGCGTTTAATTACTATCTCAAGTAGCAAATTATTATCAGATCTTAGTCTTTACGATGACTTCACTTGATAATGTATTTATTTCAATTGATGAATAATGTATTTAGTTAAGATACCTATGAAAAGATCTAAGAGGAGCAGCGCAGCTCTGAAGATGTCAGTCCACTAATTGGATAAAAATTTGAACAGAGAGTCAATACGGTTACAAAAGAAACAACAAAATGCAATACGGGGTCTAATCGAGTAAAAACTTCTTATTCCAAATGCTTAAACAGTTCAATTAAAGATACATGACTGCTGATTACACCGGAAATTAAATTATCCACCGTAAAGAGAAAGCTAGCGTTAAACAGTAAAGGCCATCAAGTTACCAAAGATTTGTTAGCACCAATGTCAAAATTGAATAATCCAATCAAAGTTGTGAAAAAAGCAACTAGCAGTACGACAAAATCAAGTAATGAAGAATCTTGGTATTGTTTTCTTTGTAACATCTGTACTAAAGAAGATATGCGCTTGTACATAGTGTACTATCGTTATAATCACGAGGCTTGTGTAGGACTAACTAAAGATGTCTCTTAAGTTATATTTGTCGGAAGGGTTTTTTACGTTTAAATTATTTAACTGCCTTTAATTTTTTAGAAAAATCTGTTACTGTTAACTGTAGTTCTGCAGTGCCTATTGACATGAGTGAAAATAATAGGAGCTCTATAATCCCAATATTGCCATTTGCAACGTTAATAAAAAGTATTCTTTATTTAGTTTTTTGATATAATTAAAATATATTGTTTAACAAAATACATTTTTTTACTACTACTCAAATTTGTTTTCATTTATTAACACATTATGAGCGGGTCGGGTACTATACCCGCTTTGGCTGATTGCCACTTATAAGCGGGGCAGGTACAAGTACCCGCTCCGCTCATTGCCGCTTAAAAGCGGGATAGGTATTAGTACCCGTTTAAAATCATCACTTTAAATGACACATAAGTAAAAATAATGTTTTATATAATGTACGGACACAGTATATTGGTGTATTGTTACGATTTTAAATGTTATGGCATATAGAACTGTAAATATTTTATGACTAATTCTTTTTTATTGATTCTCGTAATTTGTAGGTCAAAATATACCTGAGCTTAGCTACCAGTTGTTTACAGAAATCTCTAGACACTAATTTTAGTGAGTCATCCACGTCTCGAGGTTGAAAAACGAGTCGAGCGCCTTCACCAAAATACGAGACTATTCAGGAAGTCTGCCGAAAGTTCCAGATGACAACAGTTGTGTATATAAATGAAAGATTTTTGTATTTGAGTCAGTCATAAGAAGATCGGGAACCGCGATATTTAAATGTAACGAAACGTGAAATAAATACATTTGTAAAGTTATTTAATAAATTAGTAATTAGCTATCGTGAGTTTTAATAAATTAGATTATAGACAATAAATTAGAATAAAGACGAATAAATCAGAACTATATAAATATACAACATTTGGTGTCAGGTGTGGAGTTCTAACATAAATCCAGCAGTGACTTTTGAAAAAGACTTTAAAACTTTTGAAAAGTATTGTTCGTCGGGAACATCCGCGTAGTTCGGTAGTGACCTTTGTACAAAAGAACATTTATAAAAGTACGTGTGTGCCTGTACAAAGATGCTGCTAATACAACTCTCGGTAAAACAGTTGCGTGAGCAATTAGAAGAACGCGATGAAGACTGCAGCGGGTCCAAGAAGATCCTCCAAGAACGACTAAAAAATGTTCTTAACAAGAATGGAGATGACCCAGAGA